GTCAATTTCTTAAGGCTTAGGGCTTAAATCACCTATTGTAGACCGGCACTTATACTTGATTGTGATTGGTCAATTTCTTAAGGCTTAGAGCTTAAATCACCTATTGTAGACCGGCACTTATACTTGATTGTGATTGGTCAATTTCTTAAGGTTTAGGGCTTAAATCATCTATTGTAGACCGGCACTAGTGAAATTATAAATTTTCTAGTAAATTCACTCATTTTTGTGATTTTTATCCTCACTTGAATTACAGAATCGATACCCTGTTTTTTAAACATATAATGTATGTAAGCGTCGATAAGAGATATTATTAGATTATATATGCGCAGCATATCCGTGATCATGAATATTATATCTAATCATGTCACATTATACGTAAGCATTTGAAGATATTAAATGAGAAACACCATACGGAAGTTTTCTATAGAAACGTAATGATAATGTACATGTAAATAATGCTTCAGGTTAAACTATTGCTTACGAGAGGCGTATGGATAAGTTGCTCCAGGCAGAAAGACAATTTCCAAGATTTGATTCATCCAGAAGGGCGGGAACCCAACATTCCGCATTATGTGGAACGCGAAGGAGAAAATGCTGATCTGAAGAGAGCACGGTATCATACCATTTTTGTTATAGTAAACAGTTAAGGCTGGTTTATGCAGGCCGTAACTGTTAATTTATGCCGGAACCGTTAAAGTTTAACAGTAGGATTATTGTAATCCTAGTGTTAAACTTTAACGATTCCGGCATAAATTAACAGTTACGGCCTGCATAAACCAGCCTTTAATCTCACATTGATTGAAAGTAACAAATTCCTCTCTTTATTTTTCGTTATTATGTGTATTATATCAAATATTTTTTAGTTATTAGTTATAATTAGATCAAAATAAATTGATTAAATTATTAATACTAGAATTATTATTTATATATATATCTACCACTGATAATCTGCTGTTGAAAATATTTGTAAATATATTTTTGTGATACATTCTATTTTCTATTACTTTAGATTGATATATCAATCTCGTAAACGCGGGATGTTGGAGAACGGTTTGCTTCTTAGCACATTCGCAAAGAAGTATTTGAATACATTTAATGATACGCAGTTAAGACTTTACGATCAACTTATAAATTTGCCAACTAATGATTGGGACATATTTTATTGGGCAACTGGTGTTAAACCAACCCCGCCCGAATTTGATAATGAAGTGATGGACATGTTGAAAAAGCATACTCGGAATGAAGATCGACAAGCTAGGATAATGCAACCTGATCTGTAAATGATGTATAACATAGTAATAATATTAACAGAATGTAATATATAATAATACAGTAGTTTAAATTAATGCAATTAGAATAAATAATAAATTATTGTGATATATATACAATACACATGTGTGTAAAATTATTAAAGAAAAAGTAATCTTATTTTTGAAGAGATCTGGAATTATTTTCTCTATCATAATACATATATCCATGTGAAATAATTAAGAGAACGAGAAAGATAATATCATCTAGATGTATCAAACATATACATTGGCACATTGTAACTTGCTATCTTTTCGCATGTCTAATAAAATCATCTATATTGAACAAAATATTTTATCATAAAAACCTTTTTATGTACACTTTTCTCGTGAATTCTTAGAGCATATACACAAATATAATGCATAGTTTACAGAAACACTTATTATTAAATTATTTTATTCTATAAAATGGCTAGAACGCCATAGATAATTTTGGCCATTATATATCCCAAGATTTGTACAGGAATTATAAATGCACCACAAACTCCGAAAATAATATATCAGAGATGGAGAAAAGAAATACAATTAACTAATATGCATGTATCTATTAGGATTTGCGAGATATTGTTTTGTCTGACTAAAACTTGCAAGTCCTATCGTCTTCTTTGTAGCTGCATTAGATTTTGTCGCTGAATTTTTTGATGTGCCTCTTGACGAACCTCTTCCCCTCCCCGCGCTACTAATGTGTAAAAATATTCATTATCACATAAAAATAATCTATAAAAAGACATAACATCATATATACTTTTATATTACCTTGAGCCACCTCGTCTATACTTTTTGTTGGCGCTGTTAGATCTATTACCAATCTTCCGTTTCTTACCGCGGCGATTGCTAGTACTACTACGAGAATAGTTGGAAGCGTTGTCATCCCAGGTACTATTGTTGTCATCATTATCATCATTATCTTGTTCTTCTTCATCATTTTCGTTTTCCAATACTGAGAATAATAGAGATTACTCAATATAATATGGAATATTAATTTACACAATACATAATCTTACAGTTCATTATGTGCGCAAATATCATATATGTACCAATTTTTTCTGCTGCGTATTTCTGTGTAATCTCTAAGAGAGCTTTGCCATATTTAACAAAGTTAGCCTTAGTGACGTGTGGTATTTGTAACATGGCTTCTTCATTCTCCGGTAAACGCTGGCTCATAGCTCTGACAGCTACCATATTCATGATAGAGGAAGCAGAAACATCTAGTGTACTAGCAATTCCCCGTATTATTGTCATCAATTCGGCATAGCAACGGTCTTGCAATTCTTTTATAATGCCATCAATTTTCTTTGTGACTGTCGAAACTGTGGCTGTGCCACCTGTAGATTTATTTGATTGTCTTGTTGGGATTTGTACCTATTTGAAATTAAATAAAATATACAATATATAATGAGATACAATGAAAAACTTCAATGTATGCTAATATGATGTGAACATTAATAATTAATAATGAAATTAAAATTTGTATTCAATTATATATTTTATAAACTGCGAATCTCTTTTTTTTTTTCAGATAATACCTTTACATTTTTTCTCGTCATGAGTTCACTCGCTTTTGGTCCGATTTTTAAATATGCACAAGCAATTTCATTATTAATATACATATTTTCTTGCAAATATTCTTGCAGTACCATATAATGTAAAAGGCGTTCTATATTACTTTTGTCCCACGATTTACCGCGACCATATAGAGGATGTTTTGTAAGACCTATAATTTAAAAAGGAATATATTTAATATATTGTTATAAATATTGATTTATTATTGAACATAAACTGGATATAAACCTGTTTCTCTAATCTTTTTAAGATCACTACCCTTAAAAATATGTGATAAGAGTATTAGTGTAAGTTTACAATTCTTTCTGTTGTTGATATCTCGTACAGCTTTCATAATCTCTTTTGCATCTTCAGTTGCATCCAGCAGTGTAATCTCTTCCTAAAATTACTCATCTCAGTAATAATCCCATTACGTTATCGCAATAATTATTTATTCAATACATGTAACATACCTTGCATCTGCAGTTATCACATGCGGTTGTTTTATTTGAGATACATTGTTGTCTATCAAATATTTCTCCAAAGTAATTAAGCTGCAGTGATCTACGACAATCTGTAGTATTTTCGCAAAATGCTACCATTTTAAATAAATTATCCATATGTGTACTAACGACTTGTGGATTTGGGTTATCCAATTCGATCATTTTTCTGATCCTGTGCATGTCTGCATAATTATAAAACAAAACGCAATCTGCTATCTCGCCGTCACGACCAGCGCGGCCACTTTCCTGATAATAGCCTTCTATGGATTTTGGTAGAGCAGCATGTATTACAAAGCGCACATTTGGTTTATCAATGCCCATTCCGAAAGCTATAGTCGCGCAGATAACATGTATCTAAAAAGAAGATGTATACATAAGAAAGAATACAATTGTGTGACAAGACAAATATAATTATAATAAAAAAAATTGCCATAAATATGTAAAAAATGTACTTCGTCAGAGATCCATCTTCCTTGACAGTTGCCTCTTTGATTATCAGTGAGCCCTGCGTGATAACTCAACGCTTTGATACCATTCTTTTTCATTTGCGCAGCATAATCGTCGCAATCCTTGCGCGATAAACAATATACAATGCCGCAAGCGTTTCTATACTTTGTCATTATCATAGCAATAACTTCGTCGGAGCAATTTTTCCCTTTCTTTGAGATTATACTATATCTCAAGTTAGGCCTGTTGAAACTCGACATAAACCTAAAAATATAATCATTAATTATTTTACTCGAATATATATATATATATATATATCTCTCTCTCTCTCTCTCTCTCTCTTTCTCTCTC